ACTATTTTATACAGTGTGGAGGGCTCATGCCCTGCTGGTTTTTTTGATACACAGGTAGAGAGTGAATAGAAAAGGGGAGGGTGGGGGGTGGGAGGCAGCTCAGTGGGGCTGCTGAGACGGGAAGAGTGTGAGTGTGAACATGTGTAAATGTGTGCGTGAAAGGGAGCACCCACCCCTTCCTGACTTCTTGAAGCAGGATTCCTTCTGGGGTGCTTTCCCCGTGTGTCCCCAGAGAGGCCTCTAGCCAAGAGACTCCAGTTGGGATAGTTTTGTGTGTAATTTTACCAACACCCTCCCAGTTCTTGACAAACAGCTGCAGGTTGCTGGGTTCAAGAATATGGGTGGGATATGGGAATGCCCTTTCAATGTTTAGCTTCAGTTTTAATTCATCTTCCTGCTCAGCACTGTGGCAGCCAAGAGCTTTCTCAGCAAACACCGCACATTGCAGCACTTCCTAGTGAGAGAAAACTCTGAGTCGTACTACTAGAAAATGCTTCACTTCCATTTCCTCACCTGGGCAGTTCTCTGTTTAAAATTTTGTGCTGAGAGTTGATCTTTCTCTCTCTCTTACACTGTTACTGCCACGCAGCCCTTCTTCAGATGTGCAGACCCTTATTCTGGCCCTCTAGTTGTCCCTGTCTGTGATGACACACCCTTCTGCTCAAGTACCTCTGAACCCAAAGCTGGAACAGGGGGCTGGTAGGAGATAAGTTTGCTGAATCATGATGATGTCCTTTCTCTGGGCACCTGCTTCCCTCTAGTACTGTCAGATGGATTTGTGTGTGGCAGTGGGTGAAGTGATTGCATGAACTTTTCTGTAACCCACTAACTTTGTATTTTTATTAAAAGAGCTTGAGAAAGTTTTGCTTATAGTGTCAGGGCAAGGAAGTAAAAACTGAAGCCCAAAGAAATTCCCTTAGGGTAAGATTATGTTATAATAGAAAATTGAATTTCCTGAGACAGAGGCTGCCACTCCTTTTCGGATGTCTTAGGCCTCTATCAAATAGCATCTTTTTATGGTCCATGACATGGATGGGGATGTTAGGGCCCTCAGGGGCAGGGGGACAATGCTTAAACCACTATGGGGTTGTGTTGTTTTTTTTTTTTTGGCAGGGGGTTAGGGGAGGTACTTCCTGTTGATATTTGTCACTAGAAAGTCATCTTTTTTAAAAAGCTGGTTTTCTAGGTGCGTGGAGAGTGAAACTGCCACATCCTTATTGGTTTAGTCCAAGAGATCACTTGCAGCAACAGTAGATGTCTGGGTTATGTTTCTGTCTGTCTTTTTATTATGAAAAAACTATGTTAAGGGGGAAATGTGGATTATGGTAACCAGAGGAATCCCTAGCCTTGTTTTCCTTAGAAGACTCGTTTAGTGTTTTATCCGACGTCTGTTGTAGTTGTAGATGGAAAAGCTTGTGAGAAAAACAAACACCACATGGAGCCTGTAAATGTTTTTGCACAACCTGTAAAGCATTCTTGGAAGTGGCCAGTAAAGAAGGGTTTTACCATTTAAAAAAAAAAATGTAACTGTGTCATTGTTTACATCTGTAACTTTTTCCTCCCCTGTTCTCATTACAACATCCTGGTGAAAATGTAGGCACAGTAGCTTCCAGTTTTAGAATAAATAACCATTTGGATTGAATTCACCCTATCTCCTGTGGCTGAACTGTCTGGGGTGGAGTGTGTCATTGGGCTATTTATTTATTTATTTATTTAATGCTGCTTTCTCAAGTTGCACTGGCTCCAACCAGGGATGGCTTTCCTCTTGCATGGCATTTATTCCCTTCCCATTCTACATGCTTTCATTTGGGAGTCAGCCATGCGTTCACTTGCGGTGGTCGTTGGTCTACTTAGCGCTTGCTTAGGCTAAGAGGTGAAGCCATTGAAAAGGAAATTAATAATAATTCATGACTTCTGTGTATTTGGCCTATACCAAAACCAGTTGGATGCTTTAAGTTAAAGGTGAGGTTCCGTTTATGGAGCCAAATAAATTTATTCATGAGTAATTACCACTTACGTAATTAGGAGGAAAAGCCTACTCATTCAACAGAAGATGTCTGATGGGGTAGTTTTCTAGTGAACAAAAGCACTGTTGAATTACTATCACTAAAGTGGATCCTAATTGTAGTTTCTAATAAATGGCGAGGGGTCTTACTAAGGTTGATACATCCTAGGCTCATGGCATCCAGTGTTCTGAAGGGGTAGTGGTATTGATAGATACTGCTCTTAATTCCTCCCCTCTGTATGTGACACAGATTCAGAGCCCAGGGGCTTACAGCCTTGTACCCTAAAGACCATCCTTAATTTTGGTGGCTGCCGATTCTGTAGGACATTTAAAGTTAGTTTCAGAGCTAATTAATCATTTTTTTTTTTTTTTTTTTTTGAGACAGAGTCTCACTTTGTTGCCCAGGCTAGAGTGAGTGTCGTGGGATCAGCCTAGCTCACAGCAACCTCAAACTCCTGGGCTCAAGTGATCCTACTGCCTCAGCCTCCCAAGTAGCTGGGACTACAGGCATGTGCCACCATGCCCGGCTAATTTTTTCTATATATATATTTTTAGTTGTCCAGATAATTTCTTTCTATTTTTAGTAGAGACGAGGTCTCGCTCTTGCTCAGGCTGGTCTCGAACTCCTGACCTTGAGCTATCCACCTGCCTCGGCCTCCCAGAGTGCTAGGATTATAGGCGTGAGCCACCGCACCCGGCCATAATTAATCATTTTTTAATGGTTATAGCTCATGCCTTGTCTCTAGTAACCACTAAGCCCCATTTTCCCCCCAGCTATAGCTGGAGCCACTCACCCATAATCTGATCGGCATGAAAACTGTGTGGGAAAATTGAGCAGAGGCTTTTTTGTTAAATCTAATACCAAGGTTACATTTTTTGAGTGCTTCTGGTTTTATACCAAGTCTGAGCAGATGTGGAAATTTTAATTTACTCCCCTGGAATTTGCCCAACACTGTTGATGCAGTAGGAAAAGGCAAAGTTTTGGGGTTTTTTTGTTTTTTTTTTTTTGAGACAGAGTCTCACTCTGTTCCCTGGGCTAGAGTGCGTCAGCCTAGCTCACAGCAACCTCAAACTCCTGGGCTTAAGCGATCCTCCTGCTTCAGCCTCCTGAGTAGCTGGGACTACAGATGTGCGCCACAAAGCCTGCCTAATTTTTCTATTTTTAGTAGAGACAGGGTCTTGCTCTTGCTCAGAGTGGTCTTGAACACCTGACCCCAAGCTGTATCCTGCTTAGGCTTCCCAGAGTGCTCTAAGATTACAGGCATGAGCCACTGCGCCTGGCCTATGGGAAAGTTTTTTAGTCCTTGCAGTGCCAGCTTGCAATTTAAGCATGTATGGTACCATCCATTCATTAGGTATTTGAGTGCGTACTATGTGTTAAACACTGTCAAGATACATGGATTAAAACAGACCCAATCTTTTTTTTTTTTTTTTTGAGACAGAGTCTCACTTTGTTGCCCAGGCTAGAGTGAGTGCCGTGGCATCAGCCTAGCTCACAGCAACCTCAAACTCCTGGGCTCAAGTGATCCTCCTGCCTCAGCCTCCCAAGTAGCTAGGACTACAGGCGTGCGCCACCATGCCCGGCTAATATTTTCTATATATTTTTAGTTGTCCAGCTAATTTCTTTCTATTTTTAGTAGAGACGGGGTCTCACTCTTGCTCAGGCTAGTCTGGAATTCCTGACCTCGGGGGATTCTCCCGCCTCGGCCTCCCAGAATGCTAGGATTACAGGCGTGAGCCACCGTGCCAGGCCCAGACCCGATCTTGCCCGGAGTTTTCACCAGTACAAAGAAGAAACTAAGCAGGCTCCTGAACAGAATTAGGGGTAGGTCCCACTCCAGGAGGGCAACAGGTTACTTTCCCTCTTTCTTGATCTCTAGGATGAGGGAATTAGATGATTTCCAGGACCTGTTAGGGCTCAGAAATTCCATCAGTAGTGAAAAGCTGCTCTTCCTCAAGGTGTCCTAGTTTATTGGGTACCCCTGAAACCCATGAAGACATCCTTAGGAGGCAAATTTCAGTTGCTGGTAAAAACCCTTTACTCCTTTGGTTTTCTCTGTTTTCTCTCCCCCTCACTGTCTTCCTGTGTGAAGGTGGGGGGGAGGGTGATGGGCCGTCCCAAATACAGGTCTACTATTGCAAGGACTCTACCCCCACCATCCCCTCAGTGTGTATCCAGGCACAAACACGAGCCAGCCCAGGCTTCTCCCCGGAAGGATGCGTCCCTGAATTTAGGGGCTCTTGATGATCCAAACATACTGGGATTGTTACCTTCTCTACCTTGGCCCTGGTCCTACCTCAGCTATGTGCACCCTTGGAAAGAAAAGGCTTCTAGGAGGTATTTTGGGGCTCGCAAACCTTTGCCAAGTTTGAGTCCTAGAGATGCTTGTAAAACATTAAGCCTAAGTTTGGTCTGTGGCCAGGCAGCTGCTGGATCCCTTCGAGGGGTGGTAGGCACACTAGGGCATAGTGGGGTCACTGCTTTCTGGCAGATGTGGCAAAATCTGCCTGAGGAAAATGAAAGCAAAGCAAGCTCCAGAAACCCAAACTGAACAATTTCGGGCTTACCCAGCTCCTGTGGAGACCAGGAAGCGACCAAGGAATGGAGGCCTGAGATGGATGGCGGCGGGTGGTGACCCTCCCTTCCCCTACTTCTAGTTATGCCCCAAAGGGAGCCTCTCCTTGGCAAGATGTAGACACCTAGGTTCCCTCGCAAAATCCACGCGACAAGCGCCGGCCATGCTGTGCTTGCTAGGGTCCTCTTGTCCCGTGATCCTTCGTTATTGCCGCCCGTGTGCCTTCAGCTTGATCGGGAGGACGTCGAATTTCAGACTCCCGGTAGGGGACCGCGGGCCTCGACTTGGCGAGGCCAGGGGCAGCCATTTTGAGACCAGACCATCACGGAAGGCACCATATTGGGAGTACTGGCTGCTGGGGGGCGCCATTTTAAGAGAAGCCCCGTACGGTAAAACGCTGTGGTGCGGGGACCGCCATTTTGGCGCGGCCATCTTGGAAGGGGAGCGGCTGTGGGCGCGGCCATCTTAAGCATAAAACCGGCCCCCGACGCTGTAACGAGCCGAGCTCCGCCTCTCGGCTCCTTAGCGTTCCGGGGCTCCGCTACTGCCCTCCCGCATCCTCCCCTAAATCCACCTTCTTGGTCTGTTTTCTTTCCCACTTGCCTTCATTTCACGTTTGTCTGTGTATGCCCTCGGCAATCTCTGAGTGTCTGTTGTACGTTAACTCTTCCACTGGGGACGCTCTCGCGCGCCCGCCTTTACCCTCCGACCTCCGCCAATGTTTATCCAGCTTTGACTGGCCCTGTCCCTGGATATGGCAAACCTATTGCCTCATGATCCTCTCCCCCAAGAACGCTAACACAGAAACTGTCCTCTGAGGCTCTGGATGACTTTATTCTTCAAATGGTTTTCCCCTTCCAATAGTTCCAGGTGAGACCGAAAGCAAGCACCTGGCCCATCCCTCTCTCCATTGTCTGAGCGGGTCACAGAGGGAAACTGGCAGGATGCTGGCAGAGCCTGATTGGGGGCCCTTCTGTGGGTGGAGCAAAGGGTGCCCCGTGTCAGAGGGTGAGGAAATGGGGTCGACAGATAGGCGAGGGAGGGCCTTGTGCTTCAGATAACCTCATATGGTTGGGCAAGGGTTAGGAATGGGATGCAGGTAGCCTCGGGCTTACAACAGTTACTGACTTAAGGAAGGGCCCAGGAGAGGGAAACGTGGGGAGTTGTGAGGAGGGACAGGGCAGCTCAGAGGAGAGCACAGAAGAACTTCTTCTCCCGGAAGGGGTTCTCCGAAGTGGGCACAGGGGTGATGAGGGGATCCTCACAGGCGTGGGCATCACAGTAAGTCATCAGGTCTGCTGCTGCCTTGGACACCTGGGGCACAGCGGGGGGACGGGAGGGTTAGCCAGAACCTCTGAAAAGGACTGCAGCCTCCCTCCCCAAATGGGTTATCTTTTGCCATCCCCAGGGCTCCTTGAGACAGTTTTTTGCATAGCCCCAGACTCCTCCCCTGACCTCAGGGAGTCAAGGAAAGAAAGCATCTCTTATCCACAGCTTTGGGAACCTGCAGCACAGCATGGTCTGGCCAACTAATGGGAGCCAGGGTCCCACTTACCTTTATCCGGCACAAACTGGCTTCAATCTTAAGCTGTTCCACCATCTTGCGTGCTTGCCCAATACTCATGGTGCTGTTCACAGGGGTCTCCCCTTTCATCCTGGAGAAAGGAGAGAGACAGCTCAGAGCACAGTCTCAGCTGAAGGACCTCCTCCATGCCCACTCTTCACCAGCCTTTACAAGGCTAGGGTCGTGCCCCAATACTTTGTTCCCCTCTTATCCTCACCCTCTCCCAATGACCTGTTCCATCCCTGTCCTCCTCAGTGGGAAAAACAGAGAGGTGGGGATGAGGTGCTCCCCGAACTCCTACATGGCCTGGTTACAGATCATTAAACATTATATAAATCATTTAAGGCTTGTCAGCCCTTCAAGCCATGTATGTTCCCAGCTCTGAAAGCCTCAACCAGAAAGAGCCCCCCACCCTGATGAGGAGGGAACATCACCGCCATATGCCCCCATGACCCCCAACAGGAGAAAAACAGGCCACTCCCTACTCACCTGAGGTGACAGGCAGCAGCAGCAGCCCTGGGGGTGTAGGGTCAGTGGGGGGCACCAAAATCTTCTGCCTGAGATGGATGCCCCACCCTGCAGGGAGCTGCAACTGAAAGTATCTGATGCAGAAGCAGCTAATACAGAGAAGTCCACTGGGGAAGGTTGGGCCAGAGGTCCAGATCCGTTGAGGGCTGGTGTCAGTTTCTGCAGCTCAAGCACTGCCTGGATGGCTGGTACCTGAAGGATGAAGGATGCTGGAAGGAGCTGTTCCGATCCTGGAGCATACCAAATGCCTGGCCAGTGGGGGAGCCTGGCTGCTGCCTGCATCCCCTGCACACACCCCCACTGTCACTGTCTCATTACCTGCCCTTCCCCCATTGCAGACATCCTGAGTCTGGGCTAGAGCCCTCCCAAACGAGCTGAGGCCAAGGCAGACTCCCCTACTCAAATGGCGTAGTCTGGACCTGTGACAGCCCCTGCAGTGGAGTCTACTGGCTGCAGGGGGATCCTGCTCATTTGAAAATCTGACATCAGCTGGGCAGTCGCCCCCTCCTCCCTCCCTCCATCCCTCCCTCCATCCCTCTACCCTGACACAGCACTTAGCACCTGAATCTTCTTGGTTTCTCTCCCAGGGACCCTCCATTCCCCACATCCAGGAAAATGTGATGCGCTACAGGTATCAGCTTCTAGATCACCACTTCACATTCTAGCCACAAGTTAGGAGTGGAAGATCCAGCGGCAGCAGAGGCACGTCATCAGGAAGATGTCTAAAGAAATGGCAGACCAAAGAGAAGGAGAAGCTGGGGAAAAAGAGGTGTGCGGAGAACAAATCAAAGGACCGGACAAAGAGGAGGTAGGGGGCTTTGTGGCAAGAGTGGAAATAGGTGTCTTGGTGGGGGTCGGGTATTGCTTTGAAAAATTTCATACATTTTGAATAGATTACCTCCCACACCTACAGGGTTGTGCAAAGATGTACACAACACTGGCCTTGTCCACTGAAGGACTTTATTTATCTAGGGTGATTAGACTTATACAAAACAGAAGATGCTAACAGCCAAGACCTAATCTAGATAATGTGCTGTGGGGACTCTGAGGGAGAGTGCTCCCAGTTAGGACCAGAGGAGGTCGACAAAACCTGAGGCTGAAATGCTACCACGCTTGTGAATGCGCAACGCGCAAGATGCGCGGGTTCCGGCAGACTGGAACATTCTTTGGGCTAATACTCCCCGCCTTGGACGCCTACAGGTGCTAGGAGCTGTGGGCGATAAAAATCAGTGCCAGCAGGATGCCCGCTTCACTCCCCCACTTCAGGGGTTACCTGGCGGGTGGTGAGGGTGTGGGCGGAGGGCCGCGATTGCGGCCTGGGGGGCAGGGCTGAGCGGGCGACGCAAAGTCAGAGCATGCCCTGGCGCATATTCTTGGGGTCTGCAGGGAGGAGCCTTTCCCTTTAGCTATGGTAACCGGCTGCGGGGAGGTCCGGCGGCGGGCGCCAGGAGGCGGGAACTTTGCAGACCGGCTGGCCCCGCCTCCCGCAGGGCCCCGCCCTGCGAGGCTACGGAGGCTGTGGGCCGGGAGGGGCGGGACTTCTCGGGAATTTCCGGGAGCCGGAAATTCCTCCTCGCTGTTGCCCCGGCAGCGCGCGAGGCTGGTGAGTCTGCAGGGCTGGGGCGGCCGGCGGGCTGGTTTCCATGGCGGCGCGGTTAGGTGGGCGATCGTGGCGCCGCGCCCTCTGTCGAGCCGGCGGATGCTGGCGGGAAGCGGCCCTTGACTGCAGGACGCCCTACTGGGGAGTGAGCGCAGCTCTAAGCGGAGAGGAGAAACTCGGGCGGCAATTGTGACAGCTCTTAGGCTTTGGGTCCAGCTGTGCGACCTTAAACAAGTCGCACATCCTCTCCGTGCAACCGCGTGGCAATGTGGATTAGTATCATCGAGTGTGTAGAAGCGCTTTGTAAGAATTCTAAGGTGCTCATTCTTTTTATGTTATATGTTGCTATGAATGAGTAGCCAGGTGATTTGTCCCAGAATCAGGTGGCTAGTGGAGTTCAGCTGAGGAACTCTGGCACTGGGGGCGAAGGGAGCACAGTGGAGAAAAGGAAAGAGATAATTGGCAGAGAAACAGAATCATTTGGTGAAAGGAAGGAGCCACTCTTTTCCCCTTTCTCTTTCCAGGAACCACCAGCTGCCTCATCCCATGGCCAGGGTTGGCGTCCATGTGGCAGAGCAGCTAGGAACTCAAGACCTGAACCTGGGGCCAGACCCGCTGCTCTCCCGGCCATGGTCAATGACCCACCAGTACCTGCCTTACTGTGGGCCCAGGAAGTGGGCCACGTCTTGGCAGGCCGTGCCCGGAGACTGCTGCTGCAGTTTGGGGTACTCTTCTGCACCATCCTCCTTCTGCTCTGGGTGTCTGTCTTCCTCTATGGCTCCTTCTACTATTCCTACATGCCGACAGTTAGCCACCTCAGCCCTGTGCATTTCTACTACAGGTGAGAGGGTCCTTCTATTAATGTAGAGGAATCCTATGAGAATTGCCGTAGGGCCTTTGGTGTTTATTCAGTTCAGTCCCCTCATTTACAGATGAGAAAACTGGAACCCTGTGTGCTTACAGAACTTCTCACCTTTCACAGCCCAAGGCTGGAGCAGGTCTGGGCTGGTAGGGCTCTGGGGTCCTAGTTCTACGTGTGGTTACTGAAGTCCGGTTAAAAAACAAGAAAAAGGAAAAAAAATCCACTTCTGGCTGGGCGGGGTGACTCACGCCTGTAATCCTAGCACTCTGGGAGGCCAAGGCAAGAGGATTGCTTGAGGTCAGGAGTTCGAGACCAGCCTGAGCAAGAGCGAGACCCCGTCT